GTACGCCACAAAAGCGGCTCAGGGTGAAATACAGATTAGTTTTCGATGAAATGAATGATGAGTTCAACGTGAAGTTGTTCAGATTGCCTACCCTCGTCAGATTCCATGTTCGCGCAGACCGCTGGCTTCCTCGATAGGCAAACACCTATTAGACTCGGGTCACCAATTAGAGCTGGGCTCAGCGTTTAAAGTTGTGTTACGTCACACTAATCCCCGCTTCCTTCGGTTTGCTGAGGCTGTCGCAATTAGCCGGATTAAGCCAACCTTGTGTGTTCAGAAACAATTATTTGTCATCCTAAAGCTGCCTTGGACGTAGGTGTGAACTTCCGTCATTCATTTTGCACCTTAAGCTTGTCTGGTTGCACCCACTGTTAGCTATATCTATGCTTATCGGTTATTGTTAATGGTACTGAGGAGACAATACGAAATGCATGCATCTACCAGCCTTCGTCTTCTTTCCGTGCTTTTCAAATGAATGATCGTTTGGGACACTTTGAAAGCAACCACAATGAGACAAGTAAGGAGGTCGCTGAGAAGAAAGTTTCCACAGGTGTGATACATGGTGCAGAGGTGTTATTGGTCATACAGAGTAACAGCAAATATTCAACCCTCAGCTTCTCTGGAACTTTTGCCCTTCATATTTGTCGTCAAGGCAACCAGCGGCATTAAAACTGCCGTCACTTGCCGCCCGGGGCGGACCACTTCCTCCCCCCCTTGCTAATCATCTAGTCGGTGCGGAAGTGGGTCCCCGCCAATCTTGGGAATGGATTTCGCATTTTGAGTGGGCAAAGCACATTCTGAAATGATTGGTAGCCAGTGTTACTTTGTCCGGTGCTGCTCGGCACGTTTCGTAGCCATCACAGATTAGGGCAATGCCGTCGTCGTAACCCAAGTCAAGAAACCGGCCCGTAGCCTTAAGGATCACAAGCCTGCCTTGTAATCTGAGAGCGCAGGTTCCAGCCTGCATAGAAACCGGGCGACGCTCGCAGTATCCTTAGCTCACGTGCAACCGGTGGTGGTTGGACGGCAGCAAAGCGTCGGTACTGCGTACCGACGCTTTGCTGCCGATGCCATTTTGGAAGCAGTTCCCCACCTTGTAGGTCATGCGGAGTGAATGCTGTTTCCACGACTTCTTGAATGGCGAAGTTGAAAAGAAATGATGACAGCTGGCAACCTTGTCTCAAACGGCTGGAGGTATTAAAGGATGGCGCCAGTTTGCCATAATGAACAATGATTTATAACGGGTAAAAAAGCAGGTGCTTGACGCGTCCCGTAGGGTGTTTAGCGTGAAAAAAGATAGATCAATGGATAATGGAGTCGTCCGTTCGGGCGATTACAGATTTAACTGCACCGCCGTATAAAGGGAGTTTGAAACGAGAATGTACGCACCCGAAGAAATTAGGGGAGCGGTTATTGATTACGTAATAAACGAGAAAAAATAGCAAGGACAACGCTTACTCGCGTGCAGCTGCCTCGGGTCGAAGGGATACAGAAATCCAGTTTCTACAGTAGTAGCGTTTATCAAATTGTGTACAAGGGGTTTGGAGTGACTCACTCTCGAGTAGGATTATGACACTGTCCACTGTCTGTTGTGCATTAGTGCCAGCATCTGGTGGTCATGGGCTATAGCACGTAGTGTAAATGTGACAGAGTATCGTAAAGGCGTTTTTTGAAAAGCGATAGGGTGGGAGCATTAATTACATGTTCCGGGAGGGCGTTCCAAGGCTGTGACACTCGAAGGGAGAAATAGTTTCGCCGACATTCCAGTCGGCTGTACTGCGTGACCAGCTTAAACTGGTGACCTCTTAGCAGGGTGTTTTGACTGAGTATTAGAAGGGAATGGCATGGGTGGTTGGGGTTTCTCAGGATCTGGTACACCATTATGAGATCGCCCCTTAGACGCCGATAACGTCCACTGTATATTTTGAGAGTCTTCAGCCTGAGTGGGTAAGGGAGGCTGGTCAAACCTCTGACGCTCTTCGTTGCCCTACGTTGTGCAGTATCGAGCGCGGTGAGATGGTGCTTTAGCCAGGGTTTCCACGCTTGAATAACGTATTCCGCGTGCGGCCTCACCTACGCACTAAGCATTTTTGGAAAGACTGAAGGGTCAAACTTCCCGAAAGCTCTGCGAAGAAGGCCGAGGTACTGGTTCGCTTTCTTAGCTGCCTTTTCAGTCTGCCTCAAACAACCGAGGTCATCTTGAACTAGCACGCTGAGATCGCACTCGTGAGAAGCCCGCTGTAGAATTTGTGGTTCTAGGCGGTACTTGTGCATACTCTTGTGTCGTATACTGAGAAATTTGCACTTGGTGACGTTGAAAAGCAGCATGTTCTCGATGGACTATACGTACGCTTTGTCCAGGTCCTCCTGTAACACTGTGTGATCTTCCACTGTGGCTATAGTACGCCATACCTTTAGATCATCAGCAAATAGCAAACAGTTAGAAGATAGCACGCTCGCGAGATCATTTATGAAAAGCAGGAACAGGCGGGGTCCAATTACCGAGCCTTGAGGTACACCGCACTGAACTTCGATGGATTCCGACAGGTTGCTTCGAACCCTCACATTCAGGTGACATTGCACGAGAAAGTCTCCTATCCAGCCCAGAACAGGATCGCCGATTCCATATTTCTGGAGTTTGTGGAGTAGAATGCGATGGTCTAGACGGTCGAATGCCTTTGAGAAATCCAGGTATGCCGCGTCGACTCCTACACCAGTGTCCACAGATTCCGTCCAGTTTGCAAGAGCAATCATTAGATTAGTGGCACGGAACCGACTTTTGCGAAATCCGTGCTGCTCCGGAACAAGAAAATTTTATTCTCCAGGTACCCCATCAAAGCCTCAGCTGCAATGGACTCCATAACCTTGGAGATCACAGGAAGTAGTGTTATCGGGCGATAATTTGCTGGTTCAGCACGGCTGCCACTTTTGTAGATTGGCGTGATGATTTCGTGCTTCTACATCGTGGGGACGTGCATCTCGTTCAGACATCGTTGAAAGAAAATTGTTATTGGCGCCGCCAAACTCATGGCAGCAACTTTCAACGCCTTTGGGCGAATGCCGTCCGCACCCGGAGAGCTGAACTAGCGCAGAGATATCAGCCTCTTCAGTACAGCTGCGGAGGTAAACGATATGTGATCAAGCCCTGACGGCGGTATTATCTGCTTAGGAAGGATGTACGATGATTGCACACTTTGGAAGGTACGGCCAAATTGTTGTGCAAAAACGTTGGCCGCCTCTTGTGCGGTTTGGGCTAACCCACATGCTGTGTGCAGAGTAAGAGTATTGCGCTTAACGTGTCTGTATAGCAGTTTGGGGCTGGAGCAAAACTTTTCCACCTGAGCTTGCCCCCGAATTTGAAGAGAGCTGATCACACTTTTGAATTCTGCACGTTAGGGTGGATCCAGGAGGACGACCCAGGGGGAAGTACGGTCAGTAATAGTTAGGGAAGCTGGCAACTTTGTACGATCAAACTGTCTTTCAAAGTGTTCGGCCCAACATTCCAGTCGCTTTGAAAAGCTGTGGATAGGCTGTCCAATCTCTTTGCAATTAGTCGTGTTAACACCAGGTCTCTTGTTGCCCGTTTACTGTATCAGACGGAATAACTTACGATGATTACCAAGGGCAGTGGTCGTTTCCAACACGGATGCACGATGAGACCACCTGGCTTCGCATTTTCTTCAGGCTAGCAAGCAGTATTGCCCTGAGATTTTTGCGAATGCAATTGTGTTCGATTCCAACCGAAATGTGCCGACAAGCGACGAAGAGTTCAAGAGACTGTGGAGAGACCCGATGTCCAGGTTGTCAATTTGATTTGCCACATGAACAGATGTCCGTTGATAGTGACGTGTAAGAACTATGCGACCAGTGATCACAAACTGTGTTCAGTATGTGTTTAGTCAACTCACATGCCAGCGTACTTTGATGCGCATTTAGAACTGCAGTATCATGTGGCCAATTAATATTCCGTCATAAACTGTGCATGGTTGCACCAAATGTTAGGTACAGATATGCATATCTGTCATTGTTAGTAGTAATGAAAGAACCATGCGAAATGTGTGCATGCACCTGCTTACGTATTCTTACTGCGGCACTTCGCCTTTTCGGCATCTGGTTTAACCCACTTAACCGTTTAAATATACTTTTTATTTATGCCGGTCTCCAACGTACTCAGCACACAAGCTTAGTGTAACAGGTATAAGTTGTTACCATGTGGACGTAACGGAGAGGATTTCAGGGGAAACCAAGCGAAACCCTCTCTATCTAGGATTTGACGACTAGGAACGAGCGATATACAAGCGCATTAGGTTTCAAAAGAATAGAAGTGAGACGATTCTGCTCAACACAGACCTCGTAACGACAGCACGCCGGTACACCGTACCGATGCCTCGCTACAACGCGACCACCACCCAACGCGTGTGGAGTGGGTAAACCGCGATACAATTCACGTCTATGCAAATTCGAACAAATGACATTCGGAACGCAAAGGAGGTTCCTAATCCTCTCGACCAATAGCCGGAGATATAGCTGTCTATATCAATGTTTCTAGGCAATGCAGCGGACTGAGTCAGCCCAACGTTAATAGACGAGCTCTATTGGCTACGTCAGCTTGTACATACACTCCGCACTCCATGGTGGCGCTCGTGTCATGTGAAAAAACAACCCGTTCATTGATAGAAGTCACCACGGTATCCAGTTTATGTTTTGCGCATTAGGAACGACCCTGACAACGGAGTCCGTTGGTACGAAGCTATCAACAAAAGCATGCAAGACGAATGGTGCTTATTTAGCTTTAGTGCACCGTTCGTCCACTCTGTGTTACGCTGCCAAAGTAGCAAATTGATTGAAAGTCATGAGCAACAAGTGTTGCACAATTTATTGATTGCATTGCATTTTATACAGCGTGTTACAGGCAATTCTGAACAGCTCGACAGCTCTGATAACCTCTGGGCAGACGATCAAGTCTATTAAGCTATGGAGACTGTTTGTATCAAACTTACATTGTGTTAAATTCCACCGGAGTCCGATCCGTATCCGAGTCGAGGCTGCTGGTATCCGTTGGTGTGGGACTGTTCAGCCCTGAGCCGGTGAAATGCTTGTCTCTGTACATTTCTGTATCAATCGTACGGATAACAGGAGGGATTATTGAAAACGTTTGAAGTGATAGATGCAGTCATAACACGTAATTATAAACAGTCAGGTGTGCAGAAACGGGTGCATAATCAGTATCAAGTGGGTCTCAGGTTCAAAGCTCCAATACCAAGGTTATACTCATCGGAGGCGTACTTTCTGAACGAGATTCTGTCATCCAACTAAAGTCGAACAAACCGTATCTCTGGGGAGAATAGTTTACTAACTTCAGGACTAAAGCAATAGGGTATGAAAAGCAACAGTGTCTGTTACGCCGTCTTTGACAACAGCTTGATTGTGCGTCAATGACGGCAGACGTAAAACCGAAGTTCTGACACGGCTTGATTTCTATGTACAGTCTCAACGGATCGCGGACTATTATATACCATTTAATCCCGTTTTGCATCCTATTTCCATAATCGGAACAAGTGCTGAAGGAAATCTGACAGTTTTTGCCAAAACTGTAAAACATTCCAAATCACTCTGTGCTCTGCTCTGCAGTGGATTTTTCTGCATTCATCTCAACGTACACTAACCAAATTCCAATCATTCGGTTCTATCTAATAACCACTTGCCCAGCTCCATACCATCGCAATCTGCAACTCTTGACGGTATTTGGAGCCATATTTCCTAATACGACCAGTAAATCTGCTTTCCCACTATCGGATCCTAGCTCCATCGTGTGGACTACATCTCACCGACTACCGACACTAAACGGCATCGATCAATAGATGCAAGTTTTCTCTCACCCCAAGCCCACTTGACCTTGCGTGCGTGTCACAACGTGTCACAACCTTAACGTCAGATTGTCATTTACCATCCGCCCGGGAGCATGCGCCCTAGATCGTGCACATAGACGGACAAACGAGACTAAGGAACAAGCCGCGCAAGCGACAGAGAAACCAAAGAACCGGCGCATCAGCGAAAACAACCCGGAATTTAAACCGGTTGGTTTTGCACCACTTACAGTAGTAAAAACTGCGTCATACTTTTTTCTCGTCCCCCTGCGGTTGTATTCCTACTTATTAGTCCTACACTCAGCACCATAACATTCTTCCGAGTTCCCACTAGTAATGCCTGTTAACAATGTAGAAAAGAGAAACCCCCTCCTTAGACTGAAGTTGAAAACGGAAAAGAATATAAAACCCACAGATAGCACTGCTATCAACCCACCCGATATTACTTTAAAAAGGGACGTCTATCATCTAAATTCCAAAAAAATTGGATGTAGCTGCGAACCACTCCAACTTTACTACCACAATTCCGACTGAAACGACAAACCGGATTATATCTCTTGACGAAGAAGTAACCACGCTGAAATGTAAACTTCATGAATTCAGCACATAGTATGAAAAAGTCCTATCATTCTGTAAACTGCTTAGAGGTTCGGCAACTGTTACACTAGACCGATTGTGCACTGCTGCTTCCTTACTAGACTCAGTTGCATCCGAAACGCAAGAAATCCTCCGTAGATCGCATAATGTTATCACTTTTAACGTGCCTGATAAAGCGAATATCGACAGAGTAACAAATACCCTAGTAAAAGCATGCAATATGGATAGTCTCCTGTCAATGCCTCAGACTGAGGAAAAAGGAAAACATGATCACATGTCCGATACTCCTACAGTTTCCAGACGATAGGAGCACATCCAAATTATACGCAGTAAAAGACTAGTTGTTGCACCAAATAATTTTAAAAACATTATAATCAAACACGATCAAATGCCTTTTCAAAAGCCGCTAACAATGAAAATAAACCCCTCCGCCCATCATACCCCGTGTTCATACTAATGAAGTCAGTACTGACGCTGTTATCAGCAATGTCGACCTTGATAAGTCAACCGCGTCGTCTAAAATAGGCGATGATGGGCATCTCAGTCTTCAGCGGCCTCATGAGAGGTTCTCAAACAGCAGTAGTGATGTGTTCATACCTAAAAATGCCAATCAAGCTGAAAGCATAACGGCGCAGACACTTGCTGACCACACCCAACTCCTTTGTCCCTTCTCCAAGCCACGAGCCTTTACAAAAGTTGACAGTAACTGTGCCTGAGACCTATCAAGTGCGAGACAAAAACTCAGATCGTCACGTTGACATCACACAAAAAAAACAAATCTAAATCCGACCCGAATGAACTAAGCTATGGTTTATCTCCGACAAACCGAAGGAGTAGACGAAAACAGGGGCAAACACCCAGCCAGAATTTCTCCCATAAACACACAAAGCTCAGTAGATCTGAAGCGACCACTACAAGAACGTAGAGATATGCAGCTAGGCCAACTGAGAAAAAGTGTACATCCCCGAGGTTCCACATGCAACAACATTGCTGTCGGGATAAGTCACAGAGAGCCGCCCCAATACTTATCCGCAATGTCTCAGACTACGATTCCAAATCCCGAAACATCGAGCTGGCAAAGCCCTTATGTGTGCGACAGCGAAATGGGAAACAAAATGGTGGTAGGCCACACGGACTTACAGGTAAGAGGGTGCAACCCCTATCTACCCCAAGTCAAAATTCACCTACCACCACCCCCTGTATTACTCAATCAGCAACAATACAACCCGAAGAAAAATGAGTTTGTAGACTTCAGCATCCCTCCACCCCTGTATACTACCGATGTAAGTCCTTTTTTAGACTATCGTACATCAACACATCCTCTCCCACCAATCCAGCCTCTATCACATGCGATTATGAATCAGAGAATAATCAAACTACTGGGGTATGTACTACATTCAATTCAGTACGATCTAGAGCTCAGTGTGCCTCAGTTACCTCACAACACACAGTTCTCAGATACAATGACGATGAAACAAACATTATCCACCACTTTCATTCCAATTTAACAATGTCTTTTAAATCTGTCGTCATTAACATTCGTCTTCTTTTACCTAAATTAAATCTACTTTCAACACTTATGTTTATGAGATCCCCGATATTGCTTTTATCACTAAAAATTGGTGCACACCAGAAATTAGTGATTCTTAGCATAACATATTAGGCTATAAACTTTTCCGCAAGGATCTCTCACACAAACGTGGTGGTGGCTGTGCCATATATCTTCGAAATAACCTCACTGCAATTCCCGCAGATCAACCTGTGCTAAATGACAGAAGATACACTATGGTTAGTGATCCCATCTACTGATCTTCTAGGGGGTTGTATCTATCGGACACCCCGAACTACTCAATGTGAAACCCAGATGCTAATCGATATGATAAATGCTGCTTCTAGGACCACATACAAATCCAAAATTATGTGTGGAGATTTCAAGCAACCACATGTTAACTGGACGCTGCCTGCACTCAGAAACACTGCGGGGATTGAAGAAATCATCTCATGTATTCACCTCAATGGCTGGACCCAGCATATTAGGAGCCAACCAGAAGTGCCCCTACCTTAGACCTTGTAATCACGATGGGAATCTCTTACGCTCATATATTCATTGATAATCCACTACCTGGATGTGATCACAACACGGTGCTTTGTGATACGACTATTGATTCACCTAAACGACCAAGTAAAATGCCAAAACCAATCTGATGAAGTCATCAGTACCATGAATTGGAATACGTCATTCCTAACTCACTGTGACTGCAAATGAATTTATTAACAATATTTCCCTAGGTGTGGATCTACTTGCACCTACTGTAGATACAAAGCTACAACCAAACTAAAGCACCTTAAAGCGTTATATCGTAGGAACAAAAGCTTCGCTACGTTGCTACAAATACACGAGAATCCGCTACATCTACAACGTCTAATCTAAACGGCAACAATCAAAGAAGAAAGCCTGGTACTTAGAAATCCTGGGAAAGTACATACATTGATGCAACTACTCAAAAGAAGGAACCCTAAACTGCTTCAGGAAATTGAAACGTTGACACTAGACGATGGTTCAATAACGCGCGACGTCTCCTGCATATGCGAGGCTATCAACTCTAGTTTTGCCTCCTGCTTTGTCCCCAACACTTAGCCGTTTCATCCACCACTACCAAAAAGAACGACCGAGCTATACTGCAATATCCCTATGACGTTAAGAGAGGTGCAAAGTGCCACCGCATCCATAAAGCCATCAACTCATCCAGGCACAGATGGCATCTCGCCAACCGTAATAAAGCACGGAGGAAAAAACCTCGTCCTACTGTTAGTAAACATCTTCACACTTTCTTTCACTACCGGCTGCTTTCCATCTCAGTGGAAGCAATCCATTATAATGACTAAGCACAAGGGTGGCCCAAGAAATAAAGTGGCAAGCTACCGCCTTTTAAATCACACCTCTGCTGCTTCCAAAAAATAGGAGAGAATAGTCAAGAAGAACATCGTTCAATGTGTTACAAGACTGGATCTGATCAACCCCTCACAACATGGTTTCCTCACAAAACGCTCCTGTGCTACCTGCCAGCTACAATGCCTCGATCACGTCACGATTACGATTGACAGAGGAATGGCAATCATTATAATTCTGTTGGATATGCAAAAGACGTTCGACCGCGTGCCGCACAAGCCACTGCTGTCTGCTCGAGTCATATGGAATTGGAAATCCTTTATTAAATTGGTTCGACTCATATCTAAATGGTCGAAATCAAGTAGTTAAAATTGGTCAGCAACGTTGTACACCGAAACAAATTACCAGCGACGTCTTCCAGGGAAGTGTGCTCGGACCACTACTTTTCCTAATCTACGTAAACAACATTTGTGAATTGATCAAACTGGACCCCCCTTTCTGTTTGCAAATGACGTTAAACTGGTTTACTCATTTCATCCAGACCAACTACAAATGTGCGTGGGAAACATCTGTGAAGACCTATCCGCACTAAGCATAGCTAGTGAACGTTTGTTAACGAAGCTTTCCAAAGTGAAATCCCAAGTACTTAGTTACATATGTCGCATCCCAGAAGGCCCTATCATACTTGCCGGAAATGTGGTCCCATCGTCTGATGCAGTTTGGGACTCCAAACATGTACTTCATCAGGTTGTGAAAGCAAGGTATTTATGCGGATATATCAGCAAAGCGTTCTCCCTATCTAAAGCACGACTTGAGTCATTCAAGTCAACAGTACGACCGACTCTGGAATACTGTGCCATCGTTCACAGCCAATTGAGTAAGACTCTGGAAAATGTCCAACGATCATTTACCAAGCTGGTCATGGAGCGCTACTCAAACCTGAGTCACTATGACCACTGTTGAAAATTCCAACTGGATCCTCTTTGGCTGAGACGCTCAATGAACAACTTCGTTCTCTTCTACAACATTATAGACCAAAGAATTTACGCAGGCAAACCGCGCTTTAACTACGGAAGACTGCAGTCTACCTCACACCTAATGGCGGCTACTTGCTTCGCACAAACTTTTCCAGTCATAAAAGTATAACGAAACTTTCTTAGTGCGATACACTGATCTGTGTAACAAACTACCCCGACAGATATGCATGAGTGCAAGCTATGTCGCATTTCGAATTTCTCTACAGACGTTCCTCACGATAGCAAATGCGTCGTGATAGCAAATGCGTTTGAGTCACAGCAAACTCTAGAAACATTGACAGAAGCTGGTATAAGAAACATATGAGCAGATATTTGCTTACAACTAGCTTACCCACCACATGTCATTACCTACAATACCAATATTATGTACTCCTGAGCCCAACAAACTAGAAAATGATGATACAAATACAGGGAAGTTTTATATATTAGGTGCTCGGGTCTAGGACCCGAAGAAAACAAATCACTATCAGAAATTCTATTATTTAACTTTACTAATATGATTTACGCCGCGTAAGCCATGAAACCTATTCACTATACAAATGATCGCTCCCGCTTATGGGACCGAGTACCATTTGTCGGTAAATATACAAATTTAGTTATTTATTTATTTAACTACAGTTTCAGATAACACTATGAATTTAGAATGACAAAATGTTTTCTCATTTGTGCGGAATCTTAATGTATGTCTATACTGAAATCAAAAAATAGCGTGCTGTTTGACATAGACGACAATCGTTTCACAGTGGGTATGTTACAAATTGACAGTCATTTAAATGTTACCTGGATACATTGATTCCAAATGATTCACGTAGTCAACATCGTCAGTAGTAAGACCAAAAGATCGTTCGGATTCAGCTGTGCCTTTGCCCTCCCCATCGCTAGCTTGCAATGACATGAGAAATGCTGCCGCGTCGTCGATGCCCAGTCCAAAGCCAAAGTTCCCACAGTGGTCTTCTTCCGATAGTAAAGGAGGCTCTTCCGTCTGGCATATGCTCCTGCGGTATTGTGCTCGAGCGTGACCCGTCGATAGTGCAGCCGCCATCACTGCTTCTGTGGTTGGATCTTTGAGGATTACTGTCGGTTGTGAAGCAGATTCAATCATTTCTAACCACTGGTTGTTGTGCCAACGAAAACGTTCAGCTTTCACGTGAGCACCCCAGTTTTCATCATATTCCTGTCGGTAAAGTAATTAACCAGATTAAACTTGTCAGTCTGTTTTACAACTGCCTTTATTCATTGTATGAAGTGCTACAAGTATGTATGTAACTGCCTTATTACAGTAGACTCACGGAGATAATATCCAGGGAGAGATCACAGATGCGCCGAATTTCCTGATTTTTATCGTGCATCAGGTCAATCAAATAAGCCGGTACTTCTGAATTCAGCATATAATAAAGTTAGTTTCGAAAACGCAGGCTTACGAGTTGATTTCACAATCTTTTCGATGACTGATCTGTGAAGAATTAGTTGGTAGAAAACGTGAATGATTTGGCAGGCTATTTCGTCATCTTCTTGCTTCGCTACAAAGGAGCGGACAAAAAGTTTAATTTTCTAAGATGTTCTTTAACAATTTGCTATGACAATTGCGGATACCCAATTTAAGCCATCAATGCAAAGCATAAAATTCGTTATATAGTAACTCAACAACGTTGATTCCCAGTAGTGAGTAATCTATACCAAATATTAACAACCCCGCCGCCGAATCGCTCCCTGACTCAGGCTCCTGAGGGCATAGAATGCCTCAGAGCAGCAGAGCCAGATCAGTTAGGCCTAATTTGGTGACCCAACTAATTTTACGTCTAAAGTTAATCGTGCATTAGACCGGGGTGTTCAGGCTGGCTCTGAAGCAAATAGAACTTCATGAGTGGGTACCATTTTTGGAGCAAAAATTCCACAAAAACTCACAAAGAAAGCATTGTGTTGCGCTTCTTTTTACAAGCCTAGCAGAACACACGGAGTCGGCCCCTACCTGAAATGGGCAAGTTGTGTTTCTTACGTAGGCAGCATCCCAAGTGAACGAAACCCCTAATGCAGATGTTCGCTTTGTCGAGATACGACCAACCTGGTTACCAGCAGTAGACTAGTCCAGTATCTCATTCAGGTTATGATCATATAGAAAGAAAGGTCACCACTCACCGTTGAGTATTTCAATCAGCTGCGCAATCAATGCAGTATCACTGAGGAGCCTAGCGGCTGTTTCATCTTGACATGCCGCACCAATGAACCTGAGCGTCTCGAGTAATACATCATCATCATTGTGTAATGAGACGTTTTGTACGACATAAGCTGCTGATTCAGTTCCACTTTTATGTCCCAAAGAGGAAAGTTTCTTTTTGATCCATTCCAGCAACTTCAACTCCGTCAACAACAGGCCAAAATCAAGTTCTTTTACATTCAAATTTGCTAAACATCCTAAACATTCGAGCACAAAATCTTCATCTTTTGACTGAAAGTCGCTCTCATCATCAGTATCATCGAGATCTGAGCCATTTGTGTTTTCAGCTGACGAAATGCTCTCATCGTGGCTCAGACCACTTGGGCCACATGTATTTCTGAGTCCGGTCCAGCCCATGGGTGCACGTCTCATTTTTTCCGCAGTCGACAATCGTACCCTAAATCCAGCGTCCTTGGTTGTTGCACGCGCGAATAGCTCGGCTTCCGCGACGGGATTCCAATTAGTCTTACGACGCTCCTCTGATCGGCCCTTATCCGACTCTTCAGCAGTTACCACTTTCACGAGCTCCGGTACGTAGTCCTGAAATTATAATTTATTTTGCCATCATTGCTAAATTTCTGATGATTAGGAAGCTAAAGAATTGTTTTAAAAATAAGATTAAATTGAATTACTCTTTAGTGGGGTGACACCATCTCGAGTTATTGTTTATGGGTTGCGACTCTGATGGTAAAAAGCATATGCCAATATGAGCCAAAGTCCCAATTTGTCTACAAGGTCGCCAGTGTCGCCTACCGGTGATCCGTGCATGGCGAAAACGATGACAGTCACCAAGCAACCAGGTAAGGCGGGCTTTCAACTAGAAACAACTTGAACAGCACAATAAAAAGACGAACACTATTATCTCGTTGCTGTCAGCACAATGACAAGAGATTAATAATGGCATAGTCATAGTGTTACCAAACCAATCACATGTAGCGGGGTGACAGGTGGTGATGGACCTAGGGTCACGGCAGCCGAAAGTTGGTGAATGATTTATTTACACACACATTGCCGGGTCTATCCGGCTCAGCAGCCAATCAGGAGGAGGGCGAGTTAGGCACACGCAGTATAATCAGAAACGTCAAGGCGATGTTAAACCGATGATGGGACATGGAGTACCAAACGGTGTTTGATTGACTTCAATTTGAACCCAGTCGTGCGGTCATTCCTTCACTCTGGAATTCACAACGCCGTCGGTTCCGATTATGCCACTGACTCCTCATTCACGCACAAACTGGTAACTACAGTGTGATTTGGCGCCGATGGTTCCTTGAAGGCAACGGTAGCTTCTACGGCACAGTGAGATCTCTGAATGGCAGAGATTGAGCAATTGGTCGCCTCTATTTTCGTAGTGTTACCCTTAAGTAGGAGTAAAATGAAGATGTTTTCTTTAGTGATGTCTAGTTAAACAAACGGATCTTTTCCAGTTAAGCCCCGTCACTAATGCAAAAAGAGCACGCGCAAAAAGTTAAGCCCCGCCACTAAGGCAAAAAGGGTACACCTGAAAAGTCAAGCCCCACCAATAGTGCAAAAAGTGCACGCGTGAAAAGTTGAGCCCCGCCACTGTTTGCCAGCTCCAGTGTACGTAATGCATGTGAACGTGCCCCATAAAAACACTCCTTATCCGCTTCTAAGGTCATTTTTGTCCAAAAAGTTTCTACGTTCGCACGTGAAACCTGACATGAACTTTCTGACGCTTTCAGCGGTCGTTCATGACAAGGAAATAGCAATACGTTTTTTGCAAAGCCATGGAGTGATTCATCATCAACGTTTATGCACACGAGGACACCGAATGACACTTTCAACTGTTTCTGACAGGTGGAGGTGTGATGCCCGACAGTGTCGGCAAGAAATCGGTCTTCGAAAGGGAACTTGGCTGCAGCGGTCTAGGATAGATTTCAGGACAATAATCCTATTCATTTATTGCTGGTCCAAAAATCTGACAACAATCAAGTTCTGCTCAGAGGAGTTATCTATTGGCCACGCGACCGCTGTCGACTGGAAGAACTTTCTGCGTGAAATTTGCGCCTGGCAGCTTTTGCAGACTCAAACGATTGTCGGCGGCCCAGGTCTACATGTCGAGATCGATGAAACCCTAATATCATGTCGTAAAAACCATGCATGGCGAGTCCTTCCCCAGCAGTGGATTTTCGGAGGGATTTGCCGGGAGACTAAAGAAGTGTTCTTGTATGCAGTGCCAGATCGAACTGCGGCCACTCTGCTGGACACAATCCAGGCCTGCATCGCTCCCGGCTCAATTATCATTTCCGATATGTGGGCATCATACCAAGGCATTGAATCGATGATTGGCATGAGTTATACTCATCAAACGGTTAATCATAACGAAAACTTTGTGGATCCAACGGCTGGAGCTCACACGCAAACCATCGAATCTCTCTGGCACATTTACAAGATGCAGAATAAGTGTCAATGCGGCACACACCGATTTTTAGTGGACAGCTACCTGTGTGAGTTCGTTTGGAGGCAAAGACACCGAAAAATGGACCTTTCCATGCAAATTATTAATGACTTGTCTCAATTTCACCCTCTTCAATAGAGAGTAAAAGTTCAAGTTCCATATCCTCCCTTTTCATAATCTTTTTTGGGTGGCGGGGCTTAACTTTTTGGCGGGGCTTAACTAGAAAAGATCCAAACAAACAATTACCTTTTCATCCACCCGCAGCTGTACTGAAGAGGCTGATATCTCTGCGCTAGTTCAGCTCTCCGGGTGCCGACGGCATTCGCCCAAAGGCGTTGAAAGTTGCTGCCATGAGTTTGGCGGCGCCAATACCAATTACCTTTCAACGATGTCTGAACGAGATGCACGTCCCCACGATGTAGAAGCACGGAATCATCACGCCAATCTACAAAAGTGGCAGTCGTGCTGAACCAGAAAAATTATCGCCCGATAACACTACTTCCTGTGATCTCCAAGGTTATGGAGTCCATTGTAGCTGAGGCTTTGATGGGGTACTTGGAGAACAAAAGGATTCTTGTTCCGGAGCAGCACGGATTTCGCAAAAATCGGTCCTGTACCACTAATCTATTGATTGCTCGTGCAAACTGGACGGAATCTGTGGACGCTGGTGTAGGAGTCGACTCGGCCTACCTGGATTTCTCAAAAGCATTCGACCGTCTAGACCATCGCATTCTACTCCACAAACTCCAGAAATATGGAATCGGCGATCCTGTTCTGGGCTGGATAGGAGACTTTCTCGTGCAACGTCACCTGAATGTGAGGGTTCGAAGCAACCTGTTGGAATCCATCGAAGTTCAGTGCGGTGTACCTCAAGGCTCGGTAATTGGACCCCGCCTGTTCCTGGTTTTCATAAATGATCTCGCGAGCGTGCTATCTTCTAACTGTTTGCTATTTGCTGATGATCTAAAGGTATGGCGTACTATAGCCACAGTGGAAGATCACACAGTGTTACAGGAGGACCTGGACAAAGCGTACGTATGGTCCATCGAGAACGTGCTGCATTTCAACGTCACTAAGTGCAAATTTCTCAGCATACGGCACAAGAGTATGCACAAGTACCGCCTAGAACCACAAATTCTACAGCGGGCTTCTCACGAGTGCGATCTCAGCGTACTAGTTCAAGATGACCTCGGTTGTTTGAGGCAGACTGAAAAGGCAGCTAAGAAAGCAAACCAGTACCTCGGCCTTCTTCGCAGAGCTTTCGGGAAGTTTGACCCTTCAGTCTTTCCAAAAATGCTTAGTGCGTAGGTGAGGCCGCACGCGGAATACGCTATTCAAGCGTGGAAACCCTGGCTAAAGCACCATCTCACCGCGCTCGATACTGCACAACGTAGGGCAACAAAGAGCGTCAGAGGTTTGACCAGCCTCCCCCACCCACTCAGGCTGAAGACTCTCAAAATATACAGTGGACGTTATCGGCGTCTAAGGAGCGATCTCATAATGGTGTACCAGATCATGTGAAACCCCAACCACCCATGCCATTCCCTTCTAATACTCAGTCAAAACACCCTGCTACGAGGTCACCAGTTTAAGCTGGTCACGCAGTACAGCCGACTGGAATGTCGGCGAAACTTTTTCTCCCTTCGAGTGTCACAGCCTTGGAACGCCCTCCCGGAACATGTAATTAATGCTCCCACCCTATCCCTTTTCAAAAAACGCCTTTACTATACTCTGTCACAGTTACACTACGTGCTATAGCCCATGACCACCAGATGCTGGCATTAATGCACAACAGGCAGTGGATAGTCTCATAACCCTACTCGCGAAAGAGTCACCCCAAACCCCTGGCATACAATTTGATAAACGATACTACTGTAGAAACTGGATCTCTGTATCCTGTCGACCCAAGATAGCTGCACGCGAGTAAGCTTTGTCCTTGCTAAATTTTTATTTTTTTCTCACCTCTTATGTGATCAATAACCACTCCCCTAATTTCTTTGTGTGCGTACATTCTCATTTCAAACTCTCTTTATACGACAGTGCAGTTAAATCTGTAACCGCCCGAACGGACAACTCCGTAACCCCTTGACCTATCTTTTTTTTCACGCTAAACACCCTACGGGACATGTCAAGTACCTGCTTTTTTACCCGTTATAAATCATTGTTCATTGTTCATATCTCCCAATGAAATGACAATAACACAAAAGGCATTTCTGAAAGAACCAGCCGTATGCTTCCGTCTAGTTTATTGAATGCATGGATTGTTGAACACGAGAACCTCTCAAAAAATAACACTACAAGTCAGTAGACTCTCTTCAGTTGTCAATTGTAGAAACCGTCTCTTCCTTTACTGGTTACGGAGACTCTGCCTGCCTAGAATAGAATAAACTACTAATCGCATATCGTAGCGTTCCATTTGGAATAAGAGGAGAATAAAATAGTTATGAAGGGTGCGGGAAGTTGTCGTCATACCTCAAGTATTAAAAATACAGTCCAATGGGCGAGCTGTACAATAGGTCTCAGCGGTGAGCTGAACAAACACGTCATTGTGAGAAGCGGTTGTCATAATCATGGAGGATTACCGGATGTTCAACGACAGTTTTATGGAATTCCTAAATGGACGAGTGCATAGGTAACTACAGCGTATGACATGCAAATGAATACTAGCCGCATTCTGTGGGGTTTTGTAAGATTTAGCCGAAACAACATGACGAGCAAACAACGTAATCACATATCCTCTACAACGAGGATGAGGTAAGTTGAATCAACGTCCAAGTGTGGCTAAACCAAGATGCTTCAAGTCTCAATCATTAACTCATGTCAATACTATTTTTGACATAGAATGAGCTATCCACTTACTTAAACTGCACTTGTAGAGCACAAAGGTGATATCCTATTTTAAACATTTATTCTCCAGTACTGCGATGTTTTCTGGTGCACGATGCGATCTCTTATAAAGTGTCATTCATTTAGTCTCCCCGTTTCCATTAATGCCTCCAGTAAACTGATAATTGTTGTGTTGGGAGTCGGAGCACAAGGCAGTCGTAGCAGCGCCTAGTCCAAGTGGCAGTCCCCTAAGGGAACGGGCAACGACTTCACCATCAACTTGTGTACGTCTGTTACCCAATTTCCTTCAGTTTTTTTGCATCCGTGAATGACCAGCATGCCTTTATCTGGAAGATGCTGCATGCGCACCCAGTGGACCTATGAATTCTGAGTCCTGTAAGACATCAGAGCACTTCCAATCAGCGATAATCGTGTTGACAGAGCGCGAGACGGTTTCGAATCAAGTGTCCTCCGCACACTCATTTTTCGATTGCATTGATAAAGGTTTAGTTTGAACACAGGGCTTGCGACCGAATCAGCGGCTCATGCCACAACGCAATTTACTGTCATCCTGTAGATGTAGAAAGGCGGCTGTTCTTTACAGCCAGATTGAGATGAAGAGGAGGAAATGGACGCTGACACAATGCTGATACAATTACTCTTTCACACTAAAGCATCGAAGTATGCGTGTAATGCATGGGGCTAGGAGTCGAAGTAGTTAGGAGCTAGCCGATGCTCAAGTTAAATGAATAGGTGGTATATAACTTAACTTCTTGGGAAATTGAGCCCATGAAGGGCCACGTCAACTTGTACAGATGATTCGTGTTCATGCAATAATACATATGTAAAAACTCGAATGGTTGGTCGACTAGCCATCTGTTCACTTTTGCTGTAAAGCGCAGTGGTGTATCCGCACCAAACTGTGCTGTTTTGAATGTACATTCATTACAAAATAAATTAGCTGCCCAGATGTCCAAGTCAAGCAGCGAAACGTATCACCGGCACGTCGATGAAAATGCCCACGGTCCGTCTGTAGCAACAGCAGTATAGACATCCGTGCAGCGACGTAGTCTAGACAGGCACACTGTAGCGGTGAAATTGTTACCCATTCCGGTGATAACAGTCACGAAGCCTGTTATTCGTGCACAGCTAGAAAATCGAATAGAATAATGGTTGTCTGAGGCAAACAGCGCGAAGGATATCGAAATATTTTCCAGATGTCAGTCATGGTTTTGTCAAAGGAGTCCTTGCTTGTTGAAAACGCCCTCGAATGAGACAGGCAGGCTATTCGGCAAGAGACCTACCTACTGATCGGACAGCTTAAATCAACCAATATTTTTGCACCGTCCTTTCGGCCCCATATGTAATGAGCCGGTGGATCAAGCTCCTTAAGAAATGTGATCTGAAGCTGCTGTTAGTAAGATAGTGCTCACAGAGATAAACACTACAAAACAATGGTAGCTTGGAGATTTAACAACGCCAACATAGCCCGTTTTGCCTTGATTAGTTAGGCAAAATGACAATGAAAACAAACGGGTTTGGAATTATGTTTGCCGCAAAATTCCGAGTGTTTGAGTCATAAGCCTACATGTCAACTTTGGCTGCTTCGCTCCCACAGTCACGTTGGTCTTCGATGCCTATTTCTAAGAACCAGGACTAACGACTAGTCATTTATGCATATCAAGTCATCTCTATTGCTCTGTCTTGCATCCTTGTCCAATGCAGTTGTCCCGTAGATGCGAGGACAGTGTCCACCGCTAGTCACACTTCGACACACAGAGTGAACTAAACGTTTTTAGGACACTGTATCTTTTGCTTTAACGATTATCCGCTATCAGACGCAATCTGTAGCTAAGCTAAGCTACCCGGTAGGGACACATTTTTTCCTAACCGGTCATAGCGAATGTTTTTATAGCAACAAATAAATGAGCAACATTGTATGCAAAACACAACGTACTATGAATTTCACCTTCAGTTCATCGTTGTACTGAGACATATTGCGAAGCAGTTTCATCAAAAGCGGATCGCGCATCTTCAGCGCTCGCCTCATCAGCAATCGGATCCCTTTGCTCTCATTAAGGAGCAGAGCACATTTCGGATCACATGCAAGGTTGATTACCAGAGCCATGGGAACTAAATCTGTCAGCCTGTTTGGGATGGCTAGAGCTACTTTCATCAGCTGAAAAGTAAAAGGTGACCATGAGTTAGTTTCGTCGAATATCGCAACCTGTTCGAGAGTAAGAACAGTGGTGATAAGTGAACGACGGAGTGTAACCTACAGGTCTCATTTCAGATTAGATCGTAGGTGGTACACTATCGATCACTTACTGCAGCGTGTAGACTGTCTCATCTGAACGCACGAAATTTTGAGGTTCATCGCAAAAGCTGTACATACCGCCGTGAAACTATATTTCTTTTGTTTTGTTGTATGAAATAAGTCACATTTCACGGCACAAGTTCTGTTATTTCTATCTAGGTACATTGTGAATGCATGTCCCAAGCAGTCTGGAAAGATGAGATCAAAAACTATATTATCGGTGTAGTTCTCATTGCGTTGCAATACTTGTAACCCTGCTGCTCACCGGGGATGTGGATGGAAGAAGAGGAGGGGTGGCTAAGCGATGACTTGGTCCACAGGAATGAAGGCCCTCACTTCGGAGCTCGGTTGCAGCGTCACGGCTCTCTGGTTGTGGTCCAAAAGACGGTGAACACGTTTGGCTGGAAACACTTGCTGACAACGCAAGGAGCCAACCTCAGTGGCGTTCTTGCTGTGAGTCACTTTGTCCCTCCTCATCCCTTTTAGCCTTCCCCTCCACCTACAATCTCATTTCGTAGCGCAAAACATAATAATTTTTCTTTTTTACCTAGTAGCCGGCTGGTAGCTTACGGGAACGATGCCCATCGGTTGCTGGTAGCTCAGCTGGCGTGCAACTGTTGTATTTATTTTCCTTTTCCTTTATGTATTGCGGCACAGTAGCTTAGATGTTTCCCACCTCTAGCTGACGTGTATAATGATGAATGATGAACCCTGCTAGTTCCCTGAGTATGAGTATGAAATTGCAAACCTAAAGCTCAGAAACGCTGAGTAAAACTTTTGGTAAGATGTTCAGTTAACTGCGCGGATTTATTTGGTGGTAGTTCCACTTATTTCGATGTTAAGATAACTTGATATGATAGACTGTTAGTGGACACGTATGGTATCAAACACGGTCAGTCAGTCATACACTGCCCATTGTGATCGGCATTTTTGTGGCAGCCAGAAACTTTAACATTTCTCATTTGCTTAAGTTTCGTAGATGTGGTGCTGATCTCGAGCGAAGACCGATTGACGCAAAAGCGTTGTCTGAGTTGGGTGACGTCGCTGAAGTCCATCCAATTCGATGACCCTGAGGCTCCACTATTCAGTAGGTACCGTATAAGGTGCAATATCTAGAAAAACCAGTAACATTTCAAACACAATGAACATATACGTAGACACCTACACGCCGACAGTCGCAGCTAACAAGCCCCGATCTGCGGAATTAACAGTGCAACATGACCAATTTTCGACATTCAGACATCTACTTTCAAGGCATAGTTATCATGTTCACATGGTGTAGTCAAGAGAACTGCACGACACGGATGATTCTTGCTTTATTTCATTATCAAAATCCGGTTGCACATATATGAATAGCATCAAGTACACAAGGTTCCAGCTAGTCGCCAAATTTGCGTAGCCAGTAGTGTGTCCTGCGTGCCATCTTACTGAAAAGCATAATCTAGTCTAAAGAGAAGAACAGGAAGGCATCAGCAGTACATCGGTACGCAGTATTGACACTTCGCTGCCGCGCAACCATGACAAAGCCTAATTTATCGACTCCTCAAAGTGGATGGAGGTGGGCTGAAGGTGAAACAAATCAACCATTCCGGAAAGAAAACCGGGGTAGATTTTAACATGCAGGGGTGGAACATGCTGAAGAAGCCAGTCGGAAGTTGATATTATCTTGTCTGAGTAAACTGCAAGGTTTAAACTTCCACGCGCTTGTTGACCTAGACTCAGCAGACAGAAACCTAACTCTGCCACGGGCGAATTAAAGAAGCAAACGAAGGGTGTTGCAGTACTCACTCCTTCAGGGACAAGCGTTTATTCGGTAAGAACAACTCGGCGAAAATTACAGCATGTTTGGCAAGCCAAAAGCCTCGTTATAACTTACGCATTTATGTCCACAAATAACTACACTTCTGAGACAATGAGGTTCTTCCTTTTATTTAGTTAAACAAACGATGATCAACACATGAATGTCAGCCAATCCATGTTCAGAAATGAAATCAGTTTCACCCGTCTCCCATTGGCTATCTGGTTCGCTCAGTTTGCCGGCCCGTTCACTCTAGTATGACAGTCCCATCACAGACGGTGGAGAAACAAATCCCCGCCCAACAAATCTCCCGATAGTTACCCGGATTCCTATGCGAATCCGTATCAACAGGTGGCTGATGTTTCAGGCGCCCCTAACGGTTCCTACCGTGATCTGCGTGTAGTGTTTGCTAACGTTTGTAGTCTGTTGAACAAACATAATGAGCTGTGCTGCTTCGTAACTTCTCAGCAGCCAGACGTATTAGGCGTTAATGAATGATGTTTCAATTTCGACCCAAGCACTGTGATAGACCACCAAATGACCGCAGTGGTGGCCTGCTATACTTAAGGTCCCCCTTAAGTGGGAAACTCGTGAGCACCTACCAAAGCGCCGATAGTCCATGTGGGGAGTTAGGGTGCTCGCTTCATGTCAGATGCAGTGGGTATGGTCTATGGCAGTCCACTGAGCTGCTGCTTGGACCGGTTGCCGCATGTCCATAACTACATGAGTCGTCTGCAGTTCCTGTTCATGAACGATTTCAACTTACCTCGAATACAGTGGCCAGGGGGTCGAACTTCTCCCCGGTCGTGCGGAAGTTCGTAGAGATGACATCTGAAACTGGGGCCACACAGCACATTGACCAGCCGACGAGCATCTCAGCGCGCTCGATTCCTTCGTGCTCAGAACTGCTACTGACTAGATGTGAGCAAGGTGTGCATGACATTCAGGTTATAGAACTGTTGGGACTGAATGACCACCCGAGTATCATAGTCAGCTTGGAGCTGCCGCTGCCTTGTTCTCCACTGCAGCCAGTCACCAACTGCTGGAAAGGGGACTTTAGCGACTTCACTCAGGCCGCGAGCCAGATGGACTGGTCGTTATGGAAGGATTCGTCTGTTGAATCTTGTTGGTCTATCAGTAAAAAGGGAGCGAAATTTTGTGTACCCAATTTGTAACCCTCAAGCATCGGAAAGTTGGACCAGTCAATCCACCATAGTTCGACAAGGAGTATGGCATACTGGCTGGGCGATGAGGCAGGCTATGGAATAAATTCGTGTCGTCTGGCTCTGGCGAAGACTATGAGGTTGCAAGAGACAGTGAAATAAGTGCAACAACACTAAAACACAAAAAGTGTAGGAACCTTGAAGAGCAGTTTGCGACAACAGTAAACACTGATCCCAGGAGGATGTTTGCCTTCGTGAAGCGATGCCTGAGAACTGCAGGTCATGTGCTAGTCTTGGCGGGCTAAGATGGACGGCTCCTAACTTCAAATACGGATAGTGCGTCAGGATTGGCGGCGCGCTTCGCTTCCGTATCTGTAAATGCACGGGTGTTTGTACCTAGTTGAAGGGGTACCGCTCCAGCCGAACTTCATAGCCTGCATTGCAGCATTGAAGATATATGCAAGCTGCTAGCCAACCTTGACGGAAACAAGTCTTCGGGCCTGATGGGATCCACCCACTGGCTGGCTTGCTGAACAACCTTCTCGTGGTGCCAGCTGGGTGGTTCGGGATTATCTTGGTCCAGCAAATGTTTCTGCTGCAGTGTTCTAGGATGTGACGGGTTTCCGCCTGGCAAGCGTTCTTCTTATAAAAAGCCACATAAGTCCGTTTAACAACACTGTGACGTGGCGGACGTGACCCACCACTAAATAAAGTCAATACCCCTTGCTTCATCCTAGCGAAACATTGTATTCCAGCAAATTTATGCTGTAATTCTGGGGAGCATTGGGCCCCTGTTTGACAAGGAGCAAACGAAAGGCGTATGAACTGAGCAATTAGTCACCGGCCCCCAATTGGCGCGATTCCCTGAATTCGCTCCGCTGCCGTGCGGGCAGGCTATTCAGCCAAAGGCTCGGAATTTTGTCCCCTAAGCCAACACCCTAATTTGGCTTGGGTAACCGGGTAGTATCTCACCCCCTGACGAAACCATGGACTTTGATGTGTTGTGTTTTCTTTGACTATTTCTGTACCTATTTTTGAGTCCCATGGTTGCTGATGGATATATGTCGATTCATAGACCGTTGCATATATATATATATATATATATATCCACTGATCCTCAAGTCATTATCCGCTATCATCTAGCCTTTCGTGACTGAGCCGTTTAACAGGTCGCTTTCCACATATTCATTACCGAGTGACTAGAAATGCTCAGTCGTAAGGCCAATACCGAAAGGCTGGCTTGCCGAAAAACCTCCTCGTGGTACCTGCTGGGTGGCCCGGGATTATCTCGATCCAGCGAATGGTTCTGCGGCAGTGTCGCAGGATGTGGTGGGTTTCCGCCTGACAAGCGTCCTCCCTATAAAAGCCAAATGTCCGTTCAATAACATTGTGACCTGGCGGATGTGACGCAGCAATAACAAAAAGGAGGATAACTGGTATTCAATGAAAGGGTTGTCTGTTGTGTGGGCGGACGCCTTCCAGATTGCCTAGGCCGAGGAAAATGGTTGATTTAAGTACCCCCGTCCCCGAGCCTTTTGCTCGTACGACTTTCCCAGCTATGTAGCGAGATGATTCACGGACACCATTCTATAGGTACGTTTCAGGTCCACCTGGTGTCCAGTGCCCAAGATATCGGCCAGAATGCAGCTGGTATTGCCTCCTATGTCGCTTTGATGTAACCAACCTGCGCAATGATTGTTCACGCGTTTGGACAAGTGTCGCGCCGTTCGACCAATATACGTTCCACCACAGCAGCACTTGAACAGATAAATAAGCGTGAATGCCGTCAGCACCCATTACCAACTCCATTCTTGTCCATATCGTGAGCACTACGCACTAGGGGGATCTGAAGTGTGTACAAGCTTTCCCTGCACCAATCAAAAGTCGCAAGCCTCGTACAC